CTGCATCTTTTAAATTCACTTCACTGCCTACTCCATTCTATTTGGGAAACTTTGTCTTCTTAAAAGATGCTTCTCTAAGAGCATATTCTCATATGAAGTTTATTGAAATAGTATGTTCAGTACAACATACAATTTATTCTTCCATTTTCCTTATTAAGGTACACAGCGGGTGGTTGTGGGTGTACAATGATGGCCACATCGCCTCATACATTTACTCCTGTTGGAGAACTGCGGTGGTGAACTTTGATTGAAATTGAGGTTTTAGGAAACTAGTTAGCCTTAAAAATTAGTGATGCTAAAAGATATTTTCTAACCAAGTGAAATCCTTTTTTGTCATGTAATTAATATTTAACACCAGCTATTATTCCAGTTATTTACTTTGGTCAGAGAATCTTTCTAAGACATCAAAATTTTGAGTATGTATTAATTCACCCCCAAGCCATATTGATCAGCCTCTTAGAGGCAAATAGGAGCAGATAATGCATTTTCTAAAAAAATTTAACAGTTCTACCTACTTACAAAGTTCTTTTCTTCTATCTTCTTCATTTTTTCTCTTTATTTTGTTTTTCTTCTGGTCACCTTCTTTCTCAGTTCAACTTCATGCCATGTTTCTCTGTCAGAAGTCTGTTTATTTCTTTCCTTGGGGGCCTAGAAATTGATAACAGTGTGCTAGCAGTAATGTTGGGTCCTGGGTCATGATCCTGGCTAGGCTAACATCAGTAGGGAGAGATGAGAGCAGCTGTACAACTTGGCTGTTTTATTATTTTTGAGTTGCACCAATGGGAGGCATCAAAGAAATAGAACATGCTTTATTCAGTTTAATATGCTTCAATAGAGGGCATCCTAATTTTACATGTCATGGGAAAAGGCATATATCTCCAATTCTTTCCCAATGGGCATGTCAGTAAAATAGGAATACATAACTATTTGAGTGTCAGGGATTGTTATTACAGGGCCTGCTTAAGTTATAGGGCAATATGGTGGTTATAACAGTGCTTATGATGCTGTAGCAGATGAAGACTGATTTTTTTGGGCTGAGATTCTGTTAGCATCCTATTGCTGTTGTAATACATTATCAGAAACTCAGGGTCTTGAACAACTCAAATGTACTAATTATAGTCCAAATGGTCAGAAGTTCTAAAATCAAGGGGTTAGTAAGGCTGCATTCCTTCTGGAGGCTCTAGGGGAGAATTCAATCCTTGACTTTTTCAGCTTCTAGGAAGAGCCCATATTCTTTTGCTTCCATCTTCAGAACTGGTATTCATGTCATTCTGGCCTGTGCTTATGTGATCACATCTCCTCTCACTATGAGAGTCTGTCACTCTTTTATAAGGACCCTTACACTTACACTCTGTCTCTCTTATAAGGACCCTTGTGGATTACGTTGTAGGTACACTGGGGCTATACACGATAGAAGAAAATCTCCCCAAGATTCTTGACCTAATCACATCTGCAAATCCAAACATTTCTCATTACAGATTTTGGGGAATAGAATGTGGGCATCTTTAGGGGTTCCATTATTCTTTCAATCACATACCTATTCTGCAACCAGCTGTTTGCTTTTCCTTACTACTGATACCAGTCATAGGTAAAGTGGAGTCAGCTGGACTGTACAATTTTTAGTGCTATTTTTACTTTTTTGATTCCTTTTCCACATAGGAGCCAAAACAACACCTCTCTCTGCTCTGATGAATCTACAGAACAATATAGGTTTAGAACCCCAGAGCTTTCTTGATCTATCGATGCAAAGAATCTACTAGGTTTTGAAATATTAAGGGCTAATGACTGGTACATTTCTGGGGTATTGTGCCCACCAAAGAAATAAAGCAAAATGAATCCTTTGGCTAAAGATGCCAAACTCACAGAATATCGAGCTCCACTCGATTATCTCTCTACTAAGATCTGACAGTTCTGAGAGCTTGGAAGAGTTGTTAACGCACCTTCTCATGGCCAATTTCCATAAGGCAGGATATAAGAACACTTCATCATCCAAAAGAAATGTGTGACCTACTGTCAACATTGGTCAACACAGAAAATGGCCTTTCTATTGAAATTTCAAAAGAGTGGTGCCTTACTCTAAAGAAAGTTCTTCATTCTCTGTCACCATACTTTATTATTAGAGAAACTGCCTTAGAGAATGTGAGGGGGAAGATGAGCAACAAGGAAGGTGAGATAACAGACACCAAGTGGTGATTGGTAACACATATTATTTCCACCCTAAGGACAATAGAAAGTATTGAAGGAATTGAGATTGGCACAAGGTAGAAATCAAGGGTTATTGGTGGTATTTTCCCTTGGGGACACTGGATGGATGGCAGCTCCATTTACTGAAATGGGAAACAGGAAAAAATAGGGTTTGGAGGTAAGATGCAGGTTACTTTGAATTGCTTGTGAGACATCCAAGAGGAATTAGCAAACATGCAGTTAGCTTTATGGGTCTGAGCTTGAGAGAGAGGTTTGGGCTTGCAAAATGGAGTTATTACTCTTCAGTTTATGCATGGTAATTGAGAGCACTATTGGAGATTGTATGCAGAGTTAGAAGATGGTATAAGATAAAGACCTAAGAAGCACCAACATTTAGAGAACAGGCAGAGGAAAATGCCTACAAAAGAGATGAAGGAATGGTTTAGAGAGGTAACTGGAAAATCAGAAAGAGTCGACATATTAAAAAATTTGGTACCTATTCCTTGGGTGCTATTACTTGGAATACACATTCAATCACGACTATGTGACTTGAAAATTATGTCCTTATATATAAAATGGGGCTAATAATTCCTTACTGGCATTATAGGGTTATGAGGTTTAAGTGAAAAAATTTACTTAAAATATTTTGTAAACTGTTATACCGGTGGTTCTCAAACTCAAGTTTGTAACAAAATCTTTAGGAGGACTCCTTACAACACAGATCTCAGTGTTTCTGATTCATTGATAGCAGTAGTTTCTGACTTAGTAGATGTAGGGAGAGGTCCTGGAATTTGAAATTTTCATAAGCTCAGTTGAAGATGTTGCCCATCTGGGAACATTCTTTGAGAACTACTCTGTATACAAATGTAAGGAATTATGTTTTGATTTTATAGAACAATTTACTGTTTCCCTCCTATGTTGTGTCTGTTGCACCCCCTACTTTATTCATTCCTGTATCCTCCATCAACAAATGTTGAAACATCTTTACCCTGCATCCTACCTTAGCAATATTCTTTACATTTGTGAAAGATCAACTTAGTGCAGTTTTTCTTTGGTTGTTTACATTAATGAGCATCGACCTGACATCAGCTTGATTAAGAAGGATAAGAAAAATATATGGTATTTCTCGTGGGGAGGAGGAGATAAGAAGGACCTTTCGGAGTAAAAGGTGAGACTTTTTTTTTTTTTTGCAAAGTCAGTTAGATATAAAATGCTACTTATTACCTACTTTCAAAAATCCCATTAGAGAACTTGTAATTTGATCCAGAGGGAGGAGAGTCAGGTAAGAGGAAAAATTGACCTCATTCTTCAGTTTCCTAAATCCTGAGAAATGTATGTACTTCCACGCTCCCTCTTTGAATCCCACAAAACGGGGAATCAGGAAAACGCATTAGCACCCTTAGTACAGACTAGGAACACCGAAAGGGGAGGAGACGCAGTCCATCAAGACAGAAGGAAACTGGGGGAGGGGAGAGAAAACTTCCCCCTGTCGGAGACAGCAGCGTGGCCGTGGGAAGAGAAGGGAAGTAGGGATATTTACCTCAGTCGGACACTTCGCCTCTGGGCATGTGGGAGAGTGAGGGAGGAGGGGGAAAGGTTGCACAGGAGCGAACTCGCAATAGCTCCGGCCACTGCTTTTGAGTGAGAGCCAGAGCTTTCTGCTTCACTTCTTCCCTCCTGGAGGCCATTTCTCCATATTTAACAGGGATAAAGAGGGGGCGCTGGGCCGAGTCAGGATAAGCCAAAGTTGCCGCCTTCCGTACCGAAGACCCCGCTTCGGCCCCCAGCTCAGGCGGGAGATGTGGCCTTAGGGGACGCTGAAGTTACTCCGTGGAGGGGGAGGGGTCGCCAGGCTCCCCTCCAATCACGGTGGCCGCTTCCGCTATTTGCATGTGTTATGCTAATACAGACCTCCCGCTCAGCTCCCTCCCGAGCTCTCCGCCCCCTTGGAGGGTCTCCGGCGGCGCCCGCAGGCAGGGCGAAGGTGAATACATTATGCTAATACGGCGGGCTTCTGCCCGGGCTTTGGAAGGGGGGCGCAGCACTGCGGGAGCCCGGGGGCTGGAGGCCGGGCGCCGGGAGGGGGTCCGGGGAGGGACGTTGCGCTCGGAGCCGGCGCGCGCGCGCGCGCGCACACACACACACACACACACACACACACGCGCACACACACACGCACACACTCACACATGAGCATCCCGAAGGGTATATAAGGCTCACACCCGCGAGGCTGCGGAGATACTTCGTGCAGCAGCGGCTTCAACCTCGCCGCTCGCGTTTGCTCCTTGGGTTATTTCGTTTTCCTGTCTCCTTTCCCCCTTAGCCACTCCTTTTGCGCTGCGCTCTCGCGTTCTCGCTCAGCCTTTCTGCCTGGAACTGACTTTAGGTAGGAAAGAGGTCGGCGTGCGGAAAAACACTGAATAGGTGGAAATAAGGCAAACTACCAGAGACGCAACAGGTCGGGTGCTCTGTGGCGAGAGCGAACGGCGGCCCCTCGCTGTGCCTCTCGCCCAGTGCCTTTGGAGCCTGGGCGGGCGCTGTCGAGGACCCCTTCAGAGGTGTTCGTCCTCTGAAGGGCTGGGAGGGCCATCCGCGTGGGTTTCATTCCGGTTTTTACCTTTTTGCTACCAGTCCCCCAGACTGAGGGTGCTTTTCACTCCTAGCTGTGGGGGAGAGAAGAAAGCGGAGAGGATGGTCCACGTCCGCTGGTCTCGGCGCTGAGGAAAGCGGAGCTCCATCTCCGTGCCCCGGCTCGCTCTCCGCCAACTAGTTGTGCAGCCAGCCAGACTGAACTTTTGGAGGAATCGTCCTTTTTCTTTCCTTTCGAGATTCTTGGAAGTGGTAGAGAGTGGGAGGCGAAACCCAGGCAGCCGATCCCTCCACGATGCTGGTGAAGAAGCATGCAGGGAAAGGTGGGGGCCGGGAGCCAGGCTCAGAGGACCCGAGGCAGCGTTGTGCCTGGACCGTGCCGCCGTGCACTGCCCTGGCGGCCCTTCTGTCAGTGGTGGCCCTGATGTCTTGTCTGTACCTTGGGGTGAAAACCAACGACCTCCAGGCGAGGATCGCTGCTCTCGAATCCGCAAAAGGGGACCCTTCCATCCATCTGCTTCCTGATCGCCTGGATCAGCTCAAAGCAATGGTGCAAGAGAAAGTGGAGCAACTTCTGGCTCAGGTGTGAAAGGCTGGGGTATTTTGCACGTGGATAATATCTTGCACAGGCATGATTCTGTGTACACGAACAGCCTCTACCCTTACTGTATGCATACTTGGTGTGGCTGGGTGTGCATACGCTAGGCGATCATCTATGCTCAGTGTAGCCTATTATTTGTATATGCACATCCTTTGATATCATGCTCTCTGTCTCTGTCATCTTCCCTCACTCTTAATGTTTGCATGCTAAACATATATGGAGGACTGAAAGAGGGAAAGGTGGCCAGAAAGAAAACGTGGCATTTTATCTCTTTTTAGTTTTGTAGAGTGACATACAAATGACAAAAATTTTCCAGTTTTTTTTTTTTTTTTTGGAGACTATTCCTTGCAGAGATAACATCTGTTAGGTCCTTCCTGTATTATAAGAAGATTCATACCATAGGTGTTATTAATATACAAATGGTAATCACTGTTATATGGTAAACCTATCTATGATTTTAAAGATCATTTCACACATTAAATGTGTTCATATTCAATGAGTAAAAAGAAAAAATGTAGCTTAATTTTTTTCTAAAAGATGCAGCAGCAGGGGTGTTTATGAATGCAGTGCCATTGCAGTTGAGAGTTGAAAGGAATCTAGGTTACATTTATCAAACCTGGGGTGGCATTAGACTCGAGTTAGGGGGTTTTCTGGAACTTGCTTTTCCAACAGAGAGGCTTTTTGGCAGTAGTTGTAGCACGGCATGATATGCAGTTGACCTTCACGTACACAATATTGACTGTTTTAAAACCCATAGGTAACCTAAAAAGCAGGTTAAAGCCAGGTTTTGGCATTAACTGCATATGCTTGAGCTGAGGGAGAAAGTGGAGGGTGGTGGTACTTGAAGAATGGAGAAAGATGTACAAGTCCAGCAGTCTTGAAATGGTGTCAGAAGTCATTTCTTTTTTTAGGGCTTGGGTACTGTTACCTTTTGACTAAAGTCCAAGTATGTATGTAAATGTTAGTTATGCAGGCTATCAAATGCTGGTAAATCAAGCATATGGCCAGAGAGTTCCTAAAGAATACTTTTCTCTACAGTGCTACTGATGACAATACCTCTTCTTTGCCTACAGAAATCCTATGAACATATGGCTAAAATAAGAATCGCCAGAGAAGCACCTTCAGAGTGCAACTGCCCAGCAGGTAAAATGGAACTTACTTTAACAAGGTTTCCTCCATAGCAGAGCATTTTTAAAACAAAAGTCCTGTGTCTGTCAAGTCTACCTGTAATAATAGCAAAGAAAGAATGCAGGCCCAACTTACTTTAATAAAATCAACATGTCTCAGTCAGAAGAATGGCAAATAAAGCCCCAAATATTATTTTAAGCAGCATACCAAGGTCTGTTAGGGGAAAGCAAAGGAGATAAGATAATTCACAGATTTGAAAAATATTCTTCCTTTTTATTCAGTTTTAATGTCTGTGGTAAAAAGGACTGCAGAACATGTTAGATTCTGAATTCCCTGGTGGCTAATACTGCATTAGTACAGATCTCCATTCGTTCCCTTTGACGTACAGTTGTGTTAGTAAATTCCCCTAACCTCCTCACCTGCTTTTATTCTTTTCTATCAAAAACGTTCTTTCTCCTATCCTAGAGCTAACGATGAGGACTAAAAGGAAATTTGCTTTTTATCTTGAACTTCTTATTTTGAACTATTGCATTCTTGAAGACTTCTCAGAAAAGGCTGCTCTATCTTTTCATTTCTCTGTGTAGCTTTAGGGAACTGTTTTAATGACAGCATATTAATGGACGGATGGAGAAGAAAGACATCAGTGAATGGAAACTCCTATGTAATCATTAAATCTTCATTCACAGATCTCTGAGGCTTGGTAGTCATGTGGATCTAACAGTTTGGGAGGCATTGGAATATGTCTACTAGAAAACCTCTAGTGGATTCAGCTGATATAAACCATGAAAAGCTCCCATAAGTTTTGAGATTTTTATTTCAGATAAATGTTGTTAATGCATTTATGAGTATTTTCATTTTTTTCATCATCACTTGTAGAAAAATGAGTCTGTTACCTTTTCTTTAATGTTCAGGAATATGATACCTTAGATGCTTATATTCAGAAAGGCTAGTTCCTGTGTTTTTCCATATTCTGGATTTTCTTTTTTTCTTCTCAGGAGAATACGTTTTGACACAACTAAACCAGGTACCATGTTTAGAAGTTTCCAATGTCAGCTCCTGGTTGTACATAATGAAAATTTTACAGTTTATGTTCTGCTACATTGGTGACTATAATGGAGCTGTTTTTCTGTTTTTCTTTTTTTAAAGGAAGCCCTTTCAATTGAGAAGACATATACATTAGATAACAAGAAAACAAAGAGTTAATGCTTGACATTGGAGATTTCATTCTTGGTTGTTTTAAGTTGGGAAAGACTTCAGAAGTCAGAAATTCAAGGAGGGCACTTTTCTAGTGCAGGAATTAACTTTCAACAACCTCACCGGCCTGTAGGGATTATTTAAATTCCCAAGCAGTTGGTACAGGACTTCACTGATCATACCACTTAGGGTCTGCATTTTCTGTATGCAGTAATCTCTTTAGATGTGTGCAAAATAAACCTGTTTAATTAAATAGGATTCTTAGTGAACTTGGTAAAATGAAGAAAAGCGACAACTGCAGCACTAAGTTGTTTTTTGTGGTTAAATCTGCTTCATGATGTTTGATGCAAGTTAGTTGTTGAGGTCTAATTTCAATCTGGAGGAAAGCCGTTACATTGAGAGTTTATGTTATCTTGGAACATCATTTTGAAACATTTTCTTCTTAACATATTCATTTTATAGTAAATGGTGGTTTTATCATAAGAACACACAAATAAATGATGAATGGTGATTTCCTTGGCCTTTTGTTGGCTCCCTAATGGCTGCTTTACTTTCTCACCACCAGTGGAGCTCCACGTTCCATCAGTTTTCACTAGATGTAATGAAGAGGTAGACATTTGAAGGCGTGCCTTCCAAGATGCAGAATCAAACGAGTTTCTTGCTGACAAATCACCCTTTTCGGTTTGTGGAATAATCAGACATCATCGAAATAAAGGCATTATGTTGAAAATAGTATCCTGGGTGGGGTGGGGGGGACAAGTTATTTTGAATTATGATCAGTGAGGTATTGTCTTGGGGAATGAATGGCCTGGCCCAGAGGATTAGAAGGGAGATATGGAGCTTCCCACCTGGTTTGGCTTTAACCTTGGTTTGTGGTGACTAAGAATTGTCACCCAGACATCTGTTTGTAGGGCAGAGTGAGACAAGTCTGTGACCTCAGCTCAGTTCCTGTGGACAGATGCCCACCCCTTGAAGTTGACACTCTTGTTGACAGTCTCCGTCATAGAGCCAAGGACTGATAGCAAAGGACTAATGCCCTGTTGTTTGTGTTCACTTTAATTGCTTTTGATAGAACTCAGTCCCCAGTATAAGTTTATCCAAGTAGGCTACAAGGAAGTCATAGAATTTATAGTGTTTTTTTTTTTTTTTTTTTAACACGGGAAGGAACTTTTGTGGAAGAGGGACTGAAAGACTATTCTTTAAAAAAAATTTTTTTTATGTTTTATTTATTTCTGAGAGAGAGAAAGAGAGAGAATGAGAGAGAGAGAGAGAGAGAAAGTGAGACTGAGCAGGGGAGGGTCAGAGAGAGAGGGAGACACAGAATCTAAAACAAGCTCCAGGCTCTGAGCTAGTTGTCAGCACAGAGCCCAATGCGGGGCTCAAACCCACGAACTGTGAGATCATGACCTGAGACGAAATTGTGTGCTTAACTGATGGCCACCCAGGTGCCCATCGAAAGACTATTCTTGAATGGTTTGTAATTGTAGGGGAAGCACTCTCACTTAATCTTTCCAACAACCTTGGGAGTTACATGCTAGTAATCTCATATTTACAGACGAAGAAACTGTACACAGAGAAGGTGACTAACTTAGCATAGTAAAGGCAGGGTCATGATTCATGCCCACATCTGACAATCAAAAGCACAAAGTCTAATAAGCAGTAGGGAATGAATATAGGTTTTGGGCTGGACAGGACTGGAATCCTGGGTCTACTACTAAGTAACTGTGAGAACTTGGTCAACCTTCTCTATGTTTTAGGTTCCTCATCCACAAAAAAGTTTGCATACTACCTTCCTCAGAGGTTGATAATTCACATAAAGTGTGGCATCTTTGTGGTTATTCATTAGATAATAGTTATTATTCTTTTTAATATATTGTGCGCTACTTAACTCTAATCTGGTCCACAGGGACATGTGATATATGTGGGAAAACTGAGCCCTGGAGATGTATATAACTTGTTCAAAACCCAATGGCTAGTTAATGGCAGGTTTTGGGTTAGAATACTATGCTTAATTAAGCAAATATATCTGTAGATCATTCATCCAGATAATCAAATGAGTCAGTATCTCTTAGTGCTACATCAATGGAAATTGGTTCTTTATAGATATTTATATTGGTCTACTAAGTTATTTTTACCAAATTTGAAGGAAAAACTTTTGAACTTGTAGGTAAACCATGATTGAAGTAGATAGAATTTGGGCTTAAAACAGTATGAGGCTATGTCTTTACAGTTTTGATACCAAATGTTTTCTAAAAGAAGTGCTTTAACTGTCTGACTCATTTTCACACTTATTTTTTAGCAGCTTTATAGAAGCATACTTTATAATATTTACCCATTTTAAGTATATGAATTAAAAATTTTTAAAAAAATAACTGTGTAGAGTTGGGCAACCATCACTATAATCTAACTTTAAGTCACCTTTGTTGCTTCCTGAAAATTTACATTTACTTTTTTCATGTGCTTGGAGAAATTCTATTTTTTGAATATATGCTTTAAAGAAATCTTATAATAAAATTAAAAAAGCATACAAATTGAAGCTCTGCTTAGCACAATATTTGTTTTAGTAGTAGCTGAACCACAGACATTCAGCTGGCATCTGTGGCTTGGCCTTTGTAAAACTTGACCTTCATAGGAGTGAATAAGTTGGGTGTTTGCTATGGCTGCAGAATCCTGACTTGAGTTTTGTTCTTGGAGTCCTGTATCAAGTATGCATAAACCAGGAATATTTAGAGGACGGTTTCTAGTTCCAACTGGTAAAGAACACTGGGAGCCAGACAGCCAACCAAAAGATATTTAGATCAGAAATGTTTCTGTACCCTACTCATCAGGAGTGTTGTTTTCCCAGGATATTAGTTACAAGAACCTCTATGTCGTAATGGATAGAGAATGTGAATGGGCAATAAAGAATCCAGAGTTATAATCCTGGCTTTGTGATTAACATGTTGTATAATCTTGGACAAGTCATTTCCCCAAAGACTGGCTTTTATAGACTCTATTTTATATCCCTAAAGTAAGGAGTATTGGACTAGAATGATTTTGAAGGGCATTTGCTGCTTCTCTAGGGATAAAGAGCCTGCTGTGTCCCAAATATCATGCTAGCTACTGGGAATATGCTGATCAGCAAGGCAAACTTGGTATCTGCTCTCATGGAGCTTACATTTCAATGAGGATGACAGATGTTTATTTAAAAATGGTATAAATTTATAGTCATGACAAGTGCAACCAAGAAAATGAACTGTATTCTTTGGAGTACATGACCACAATTTCATATTATAAATACTAAGGACTTTTTTGCTCTTTTCTCTGGGGGTGGAGGCCAGAGATATTCATGGCAGGAGAAATCATAATATACGAAAATCTGTCTTTTGATTGCAAATAAGAGTGTTAGCAATGGATAAAAAATTGCTTTGCATAACCTCACCTGGCTTTGCCTTTCCAAGAATTTATGGTCAGATAAAGGTTTATCGATTGCTGATTTACCTTTACTGATACCTAACTGAAACAAAAAAGTGGCTTTAATTTATAAAGGCTATGATAAATTGAATGGTGATTTGTTCTTCTACCTTTCTTCTGAAAACAGTGAGATTTGAGTTGAATAAGAATCAAAACTTCCTCCCTGGTGGTACTGAACTTGCACTTGGCTCCTCTACATTCATTGATAATGATGCAATGGAGCACAGCTACTCATCAGTTTGGAGAGTTTAGCTAGATATAATAAAGATATACTATATAACTTTCAAGGTTCCTATATACCCTGCAAGTCTATGAAAATTATTGTATACAAAAAAAGAATAAATGTAGACAAGTTAAAGTACCCCTGA